TCTGAGAAGTGTCTGTTCAGGTCTTTGGCCCATTTGTTGATTGGGTCATTTGTTTTTTTGTTATTTAACTTTTTGAGTTCTTTGTATACCCTAGAGATTAGAGCTCTGATGTGTGAGGGGTAAAAATTTGTTCCCAGGATATAGACTCCCTATTCACCTCACATATTATTTCTCTTGCYGAGAAAAAACTTTTTAGTTTGAACTCATCCCATTTGTTGATTCTTGGTTTTAACTCATGTGCTATAGGTGTCTTATTAAGGAATTTGGGGCCTTACCCCACGTGATGGAGATTAGGGCCAATGTACCCCATTATTTTAATGAATTATTTTATTTTTTTGTGGGRAGGATTGAACTCATGAGTGCTGAGCCACATCCCAAGCTCTTTTTTTGTTGTTGTTGTTTTTAACTTTGAGAGAGGRTCTCACTAAGTTGCACAGGAAAAACTGATTAGGGTTCGCAAATCATTGTGATTCTAATTTTCGATATTTACTTACTTTGTGTAGGGAAGTAAAGGATTTGGAAGCCATAAAAAATCTGATATGGATTAGATCCTCAAACTGGTTATAATTTAGTAGAGTGGACATTGCATGTAAATGATGAAAATAATGATATGATCATGCYAAATGTTTACACAGTACTTAATATATGCTAGGCACAAAACATTTTTACATACATGTAATCACTTCATCCTCACAACACTTATAAATTAGGGACATTTATTTTACAGAATTGAGGAATAAAAAATTTAAGTGATATCCCCAGGTCTCGMAGCTAGGAAGTGTCAGAGATAGGATCTGAATGCAAGTAGTTTGACTCCAGAGTTCATGCTCAAAAGAAAACTAGGTGATTCTGTCTCTCAAAAGGGCTCCATTAGCAGGGAAGGTGACCGATGTCATTATCCTGTGAACTGTAGTGTAAGGATTTTAGAGGAGGGAGAAATTACTTTCAGTAAAAACTAATGAAGTTCTACTAGGAGGGATGACATCTGAGTAAGAACCWGAGGAGGAACAGATTTAAGTTTGTAGGTAAACAGGAAAGAGGGAGGGAACCCAAAASAAAATATGTTGTGGGAAAGTTCCAGGTGTGGAGAGTACAGTTACAGTCAGGACATAAAGAGAAATACTGGAAATAAAGCTATAAAATAGAGATGAGACTAGATAAGTGTAAGCACTGACTAATAGGGTGAGGAATTTATTTTATTCCATGAACATGAATTTTTATTCCATGAGCAATAGACACACCACTAAAATTTTTTTGAGTTAAGATCAGAAGTGTGCACCAAGGAATTAATCCATCAGCAGCATGTCAAAAAATTAGTTGGGCAATGGAAAAGGAAGAGATTGAATGTGAGAGAACAGGTGGAAGGAAAAATAAAAGGACATGAGTTCATTATCTTCCTACCAAACTTTCTTTTCCCTATCTTATTGCAGTATTATTCATTTTAGTCCCCAAATGTCAACTGCTGGGACATTCCTGATTACCTCACTGTCCTGCTTAAAACCTTTCAATGGCTCTCCGAATTCTTAGGGAAAAGTCAATATTATTTAAGATGGCTGGCAAGGCCCTTCACAATTGAATCCAGCTCGTCTTAACTGCATCATTATTTTCCACTCACACAACCCTTCCAATTTTCCCATGTGCAGTCTCTTTTGACTGCATGTGCTTTATACAACTCTAGAAAGAGAAGGGCCTTTCCATGGCTTAG